TTTAAATACATTTTTAAAAATTTAAGGTATATTTACATTTTTTTAAAGTTCCTGACAGTTGCTACTTAAGTAACTATTTCAGATTGATCTAATGTACATATTTTTTTCAAATGATCTAAAGTCTGATCACCGGATATCATGGAGTCTGGCAAGATGGCTTCTCCCAAGAGCATGCCGAAAGATGCACAGATGATGGCACAAATCCTGAAGGATATGGGGATTACAGACTATGAGCCAAGAGTTATTAATCAGATGTTGGAGTTTGCCTTCCGATATGTGACCACAATTCTAGATGATGCAAAAATTTATTCAAGCCATGCTAAGAAAGCTACTGTTGATGCAGATGATGTGCGATTGGCAATCCAGTGTCGCGCTGATCAGTCTTTTACCTCTCCTCCCCCAAGAGATTTTTTATTAGATATTGCAAGGCAAAGAAATCAAACCCCTTTGCCATTGATCAAGCCGTATTCAGGCCCTAGATTGCCACCTGATAGGTACTGCTTAACAGCTCCAAACTATAGGCTTAAGTCTTTACAAAAAAAGGCATCTACTTCTGCAGGAAGAATAACAGTGCCTCGGTTAAGTGTTGGTTCAGTTACTAGCAGACCAAGTACTCCCACCCTAGGCACACCAACCCCACAAACCATGTCTGTTTCAACTAAAGTGGGGACTCCAATGTCCCTCACAGGGCAAAGGTTTGCAGTACAGATGCCTGCTGCACAGTCCCCAGCTGTAAAAGCATCAATTCCTGCAACATCAGCAGTTCAGAATGTTCTGATTAATCCATCATTAATTGGGTCCAAAAACATTCTTATTACTACTAATATGGTGTCATCACAAAATACTGCCAATGAATCATCAAATGCATTGAAAAGAAAGCGTGAAGATGATGATGATGATGATGACGATGATGATGATGACTATGATAATTTGTAATCTAGCCTTGATGCATGTAACATGTATATTTGGCCTTGAATCTATTGTACTGAAATTAAACATGCATGCTGGATGTTTTCAAGTTGTGTTTTAGAAAACTTTAATGAGTGAGTATAGGTACCATACTTTAAATTGAAATGTTGGATTTTCTTTAATAAGGATTAGTGATGGTTTTTCATCAACCTTTAAGTGTAAAAAATAAAGTTATTGTTCATCAATCTGATTGTTGGTACTTGACAATTATGTCTCAGAAGCAATTTCCTTCTTGTCACCAACAGGAGTAATAGTTGAAACAAGTTGAAGTTGTTGCAATCTGTTCATTACCAATAGAGTGTCACTTCTAGTATCTTAAGCTGTTTAGGTCAGAGTATGATCTCTGGTGTATAAGTCACTCTTATGGTCTGTTCTCTCAGATTGCTGAAGTATAACCATGACTCTGGAGAGGTCACTTGGTCGGGATTCATATTCATAGTGAATCTTCATCTGCTTTCTTTTCCTTAATTGCTCACTTCCATTTTTCTATCCCTTTGGTTATATTTAAGGACCCTTGGTGTCTGCAAGTATCTCCCCACTATTTAAAAAAATTTTTTTCCAAGTGTTCCTTTTTTCAGGTTAATTTGAGCACCTTTGTCATATTCCTGATCCTATAAGCTAGTATCATGTTCATCTTTAATTCAAGCCTAGTGGTTAGGTTATAATTTCTCTAAAACTTAGATTTTTATTTGCTGTTGTACATAGCTAGTCATTTTCTATTTTATAACTATATGAAATTGGTTCCACACTGTTGAATTTTACCATTTTTAACAGATGACTTTAGTCACATACAATAGTCAATTTCAGTCATGTATTTTACTTTGACTCAATTTAACATTTCTAAACTTAATGAAGTTGCCATATAATATTATTAATAATATTGAGTGTAACACCAGATCAAGGACAATCCAGTATGGGACACTTGTTTCTGCACTGGGTCTTCTGCCTATATTCACCATTTTAGCCAGTTGTGTATAGTCTCAACCATCTTCTTTGTGGTTTATTGGTGAGATTATTTCATAAGATGGGATCTAAGCCTTAAAGGGAGAGTGTTGATTTTTTTCCTCCTCCCTTAATGCCAGATACAGGATTTCTGATCTAACTTGACATGGAATTAGCTGAGGTACTTTATAAGTTTTGACATACCAGTTACTTTTATCCCACCAGATGGTCATTCGAATATATCTGAAAATCTTAGAAAATATTCTGAAGCATTTGACCTCATTTTTTTTTTAATGGTGAAATATTTTAAGGGAAACCAGGCAATCATCTATAAGGCAGTGGTTCTCCACTTGGGCTGACTTGCCCTTCAGGAGACATTTGGCAAGGTGTGAAGACATTTTTGAGTGTCACATGGGTGAGTGGTGGCTAGGGTTTGCTATCAACATTACTGGGTTGAGGCCAGGGATTCTGCTAAATATCCTACAATTCACAGGACAACCCTCTCCCCCCTCATAACAAAATTACAGGTTTAAAATGTCAGTGTTATGGTACGGAATGCGAGAAGTGACCACCGAGAGACCGAATTGAGCCAAATTGTCTTTATTAGCTGGCTAGTGACTACCCTCTGCTCCGCTGAGAGGCAGCAGCACAGAGAGCAGCCCCGAGCCAGGAGAGACGGGCTCTTTTAAAGGCAAAAACCACATCCTGTAAAGTCATCTATTTGCACAAGCAGGGTCACAGAAACCTAGATCAGCATTAATCATTATTAATCTTAGTCGAAAATACATTTAACATTTTGTTTTAAGTCAGAGTACATTCTGCTCCCTGTTATCTGGGTACATGAGGCTCCCCTGGGCGTTTCAGTGCTCCAGGGCATTCCGGCCCTCTGGGCTAGCTGTTACTTTATCTTGTGGACACTTGGCAGCTGTGTGAAACGTATCCTTCTGCCCCTTTCTCCCTTTATTCTTTGATTAAGCATACTGACAGAAGCGAGAGAGCAGGTTATTTCCCATAGACCTCAACAGTCGATAGTGTTAAAGTCAACAAAGAGACCATCTTTATTCCATTTGGAACCAAGGAAGGAAAAATTAGGAATTAAGCTCAATAAAACTGTTAGGCATCCTTAATGTGGTGTGACTATAAGAATGCTTTTTTTATCCCTATTCAAGTCTCAGCTTCCTCCTCACCTGATATCCTTTCTTATATGCAATCATTTAATTACATTCTTACTAGCATCCTTAATTTTCCTGCCACCAGTTTAGCAGTCTTCAGCCTCTGTTCCTAACTTCAGGGTACCCATAGGAAAATAATATATTGATATTGGATCCATTTCAGATAGAAGTTATAAAGCATAAGTGGGCTCTCAACACTCATAATCTTGATGTATCTCTAACCCAGGGATTGGCAAACTACTACTGTTTTTGTATAATGCCCAAACTAAAGACTAGCTTGCAAAACCTAAAGTACTTACTATCTGGCCTTTACAGAAAAAAATTTGTTGATCCCTGCTCTTACCCTCTTCTGAATCCCATTTTCCCTCCCCTTATCAGCTACCACTGGAAGGCTTTGAAACTAACTCTACTATTGACCTCTCTGACACTGCTCTTACCTAATATTTGCCCCTGATCCTCTTTCTCTTGCCTGTTTCCCCCATGATTTCATGAAACAGCCAGATTTCTAGACGCCTACTAGGCATAACCATCTGGGTAGTTCCCAGACATATATCTCCAAATTAACCTGTTTAAAGCATATGCATTTAAAGCATATGCTCTGAAGTCGTTTTTGACTCCATTTGCCCACTCCTGATTCCTACCTCCCACACATACAAGTACGTATTTACTCTCTCCACACAGATCCACTCAGCCTTTAAACTTGATAGTTTCTCTGAAATATCCTTGTAATACCCATATCCCATCCCTGAGACCATTGGTGCTGTGCCTAGAATCCTAGAATCTCCTACTTCATCTCCAGTATCTCTTCCTCCCTCTTCTACATTATTTCCTTTAAAGGAAGAGGGGGAGTGACATGATTTGAACTTTTTACTCGCATAGTCCATCCACCTCAATGAAATAGAGGAGATTCTTTATAAGCTGGCCGCTCTCTCCCCATGCCCCCTCAGTGACCCACAGTACACTATTCTCAAACACACTGGGACTTTTCCACCTCCTTGTCTTTATACATGCTATACTGTTTGTCTATAAATGCCCTTATCTGCCTTATCGACAACTCAAAGCTCCAACTCAGGTATCACATCTTTGGCTAACTTCTCAGGGGCAGAATTTATTGCTGTTTTCTCTCTACATAAAAGGCCAGGTATTTTCAAGGCACTCCATCCTAACCCAATTAACTTCTTGTACTCATTGCTTATAATTTATAAGCTTCTTGTTAAATTGAGGTAAATGATAAATGTTTCCAAAGGAAGAAATCTGAAAATGTTTTAAGTATTGGCAGTAACATCAATATATGATTAAAGATAGCATCCCAATATGATTAAACAACAGCTTTCCCTGGAGTGCATAAATTCTGGGATGGCAGTTAAAACGTCATGATTTTATAGTTTGACTAACAACAGCTGGTGAGATTTTTGAAGGTAAGAATTACCTTATTAACTCTGACCCCACGGTTGGTTTTTTTTCTGTAGATAATATGCCTGTACCTGGAATTTCCTTAAGTAAACCACAAAAGTTTTTTCAGGAACTTGATTTAATTTTCTAGTCTTTCAGTCATTTAATCAAATCAAGCTTTTTGATCTTCGCTATATTAAGATCCTATGTATAGCCAGGCGCGGTGGCGCACGCCTGTAGTCCCAGCTACTGCGGCTTCTGAGGCGGAAGGATCGCTTGAGTCCCCGATTTCTGGGCTGTAGTGCGCTGTGCCGATGGCTTGTCCGCGCTAAGTTTGGCATTAATGTGGTGACCTCCCGGGAGCGAAGGACCACCAGGTTGCCTAAGGTCCAGGTCAAAATGGAACAGTCAAAACTCCTGTGCTGATCGGTAGTGGGATGGTGCCTATAAATAGCCACTGCACTGTCGCCTAGCAGCACAGGGAGACCCCGTCTCAAAAAAAAAAAGATCTATGTATAGGCAACTTTCAATCTGGTGTCCCGTCGAAACTTTCTAAAGTAGCATAAGATTTTCTTCTTTTTTAAAATTTGAAATGAAGTTTAAAATCCATTCATTGCTCTCCATCCCCACAGTCACTCCTCTGGTACAGGCTATAATCTGTAATTATCACTCACCTAAAAATATGCCCTTGCCTCAATAAAGTGTCCCTGCTTCTAGGTTTGGTACCTTCCAAATCATTCTGCACATGCGAACCAAAATGATTTTTTAATAATTTGAAACTGATCATGTCATTTTATGCTTTAAATGCTTTAATGATTTTCCTTTGCTTCAGGATGAAATCTAAACTCTTTCATGTAGCCTTCAATGCCCTGTTTGATCTGGTCTCAGTTTATCTGACCCGGTACCACTTATTTTCTAACCGTCTGAAAGACTCTCCCTCCCGTGAAAGGGCCTGCCCCTCCCTAGTCTCTCTACCTTTGCATGTCTTGTTTTCTCTGTTCAGAATAGTCTTCCCTATCTTTTTATTTGCTGTAGCTAACTGCTTCAAGTCTCTTAGAAGTCACTTCCTTCAGGAAGCCTCCACTAATATCCCAAGTTTGTTAGGTGCCCATCCTATTGCTCCCATAGCACCATGAACCATAACATTAAATTTCCAGATGACTTTTCTATCCTCTACCATTTTATTTAAACTCATTGAGGGAAGGACTGTTTGTCTTCTTGTTCACTTTGTTCATTATTATATCCTCATTCTCCCTAAGTGTTTTTTGAAATGAATATTTTAAAGTTTAGATTATACTATTTTACTAAAATATATTAACATGATGTAAGAAATTCTGCATTTCAGTATTACAGTATAAAGACTTTAATTCTAAAAGGTAATATTGCTATATCTATTTTTTTTGCTATATCTATTATCATACATTGTATGCCTACATCAATACATCACATGTACCCCATAAACATACAACTATTCTGTACCATAATTAATTTTTTAAAATTGCTATAGATGTTTTTAAAAACACCATATGTTTTTAAAGA